ATTCAAGGAATGCGAACAGAGAACTAGTTAATATGATCTGTGTAGATTTGCAACCATTGTCTATAGTTGAAGATGAAAGTTTCCGAAACTGTACTTACCAGCTAAACACCAACTATAACACAGGCCGAAATTTTTCAAAGGTTTTTGATGCGCTGAATCTGAATCCAGAATCAGTTTTGCCCGATTGGCTCAGGTTTTCGAGATATTTGAGCCTAAACATGCGAAAACCCCGACTTTTTGCTATATTCGTCATGTATTTTCATCAAGAATATATCGTTTTTTTAGAAAATTTAATAAACACAACATGAAAAGAAACAGATTTGTGGTATACGTTTAGGCGTATGTATGAATGTATGTGTATAAGTGCGCGGGCACAGAGAAAACTTATTTCGTTTAAGAATTTAACGAAGAAATGAATGCATGAGAAATTCTCTCGGAATTTTAAATGATATTATATATATAATATACATGATATATATATGATATACATGATATATAATATATGTACATTAGGGCGGGTTAATTTTTTTTTCGACATCGTTCCTATCAGATTCGGATTCTACATGAAATTCAAAGAAAAAAAGCCCTTTAGACCATAGCTCTAAAATCAATTTCGAGCCTGCGCAATTTTAAAACAAAATATCTTTAATTAATACTAAGTCCATAATCAGATTAATATTTAATAAAGTGTTAGGAATGTTTTGATTTTGTAATAAAGAGTTGTGCTCCGGAGTTTTGTGATATGAAAAACTCATTTCTGATATCTATTTTTTATTTAAAGAACCGCAAGATGGCGCTTCAATGCAAATCTACTATATATTTGTGGAAGTATGTATGTATGTATGTGCCAGGTTGCAGCCTAAACGGATGGAAAGAATCGAATAAAATTTTGCCAAATATTTCCATGTCTCCTGAATAGGGTAAAAAAATTGGAACTCGCCAAGGAGAGGCGGGAAGGGGATGGGGGATACCTCCCATAGCGAAAATTTTTAGTCAGCTCTAACTTCGGAATTATAGTCACATGAACTCGAAATTTTAAATGCACAGTTACCTATGGTAGGTGCTTATGGAAAGATATATGCATATAAATGAGTTTGTAAAAAGGGGCGTGGCACATCTCATAGGTGTGGAATCTTTTATCAGCTATAACAGCAGGCAGTATTAGTGATCTCATTGTATTACATTTTGAAGATTTGTTATAATTGATCAAGGTGAAATTCAAATAAATTATAGATGATATGAAGTTCACCGGGTCATCTTCTATTCTTTAATATATACTACTTAAGTTAATATACGGATTAATATTTACTAAAGTGTTACGGACGTTATTTTTTCAATACAATAAGAAAAGAGTAACTATAATTTAAAGGAGAGGCACACAATGGCTAGAGTCGTCGCATGTGTGTATTCTTTCATATACATATATACCGAAAATTTTAAATACGACTTTAACAAGTTTTAACCGCTGATACAGTACAGGTAGCAGTTTAAAATGGGTAACTGGGTAAACTTAATAAACAAAATATTTTCTCTGGTTAAATTAATAAGCCTGCTCGGATAACACAAAATCCTAAGCTTATAAACATTTAGTGTTATAAAAGTTTTATAAAGCTCTACTTGTAATTAGGAAAAATGCCGAAAAAAAAACTATAAAATTGATTGATTGATTGATAAAAATAGAGAGGGAGTTATGGCTATGAGAATAGAAAGTAGAAAAAGGATACCTCGAGTTGAAAGCAAAAAGGTTCTAAAACCAAAAAAATATATAAATACATACATACATAAAAAAATGTATGATTCGAAAAATAATTTTGATATATTGTAAAATTTAATTATTTTTTTTTGGTTTTTTAAAGTTAAAGTTTTATTTACTTACAGTAACGGCGAAAAGTATTGGCACAGTGTGCAGTATGCAGTTTAATAATCCCTTCATTTTAGTTTATCAAAGTGCAAGTTTGAAGTTGCTTGAAAATCTGAATATAAAATTGCAAATTTGTATGCAGATTTATTGAATTTTCCTGAGTTTTGCACAAAGTTTACACATTTGATTTTTGTGTGTTTTGGTGTAGTATGAACTATGTTTTTATAAAAAATTATCGGAAATAAATTAAAAGCTTTGCATATATGTAATGCGGAAATTCGCTGTGCCAAAACTTTTGTTCGACACTGTACATATAAAAAATACATACAGTAACTTCTCCCGTTACAACAGTAAAAATATGTAATATGCTTTGTAGTACAATCTTGCGGTTCTTTAAATAGATATCAGAAATTTTTCGTATCAATAAACTCCCAAGCACAGGTTTGTATTAAAAAAAATATATCCTAACACTTTATTAAATATTAATCTGGATATTTTATTAATTCGTCGGAATACTTTTTTATGCAAGTTACCGCATAACTTTGGACTACGTTATCCGTTTTCTATAATTCTTTTTTAAAGGAAAGGTGGTTCCTCAGAGGTAGTCTCCTACTAATTGAGTGTAGATCCGATAATTGGGCCACGAAGAAAATAACGGTACTCTTAAACGTATATGAGAATTGAAGTCGGTTTTGTTTTTTGTTTAAAATTTACTCCAGTGTAAACAGCTTCTATAAAAGAGTCATAGGCCATATTTTTTTGTTAGTTCAATTGTGGGACATTTGTATGAACTGCTTCGGCTAATACTTCGGCTTTTGTTCTCTTTTTATTAAGAGGCTAAGTGCATTGTTCTACGGAGTGATATCATTGCCAAACAGGATAGTACTTTGTTTGCCATCAATAAACACTAACTTAATGGAGTTACAGTATTCCACATTGATGCGAGCCTCAAAAGCTTTGAATAATATTTGCGAGTATGGCTTTTAGTTTTTACCGCTCAGGTAGGTGGCAGGCCTATAGAAAATATTTCTTAATCAATAATTTTTCAAATACTTTTCGTTTGACACCTATACATACATACTTCATCTTATTGACTTAATTGAATTAAATTTTCGAAATTGGTGGCAACTCGACTCAAAAATATTTTCAGTAGTAAGCCTTCTTAAACCTTTTTAATTTGATACCCTTATTGCAATATTTATCTTACCAACTTAATTTAATTAAATTTTGAAACAGGTGGCAGCCCCCCTCAAAAATATTTTCGCTTGTAAGCCGTAATTACCTCTTTCTTTTTACACCCATATTGCAATATCTAATTTATGTCATTAATTTACTTATACTGAAATTTTTAAACAGGTGGCAGCTCTCTACTTTTTTCTGGTTTTAACCATCCGGATATTATAAAAAACAAACCAAAAAAATAAAAATATTCAAATCGGTCAAACCGTTTTCGAGTCTTAGCGAGGCTAACGGACAGCAATTCATTTTTATATATAAGATATCTTCTTTTAAAAATGCGCAGGCTCGTAATTGACTTTAGGACTATGGTCTGGAGGAATTTTTTTCTTAGAATTTTATGAAGAATCCGAATATGGAACAATGACGAAAAAAATCGATCCATACAAATTGACCCGCCCTAATGTACATGATAATATACACATGCATTCATTATGTAAATAAAGACGCCTAAACGTATACCACACATCTGTTTCTTTTCGTGTTGTATCTTTCAAGCATTTGTGCAAAGAAGTAATGTCGCAAACCTCATAAACTTCAATGGACAATATCTCAGGTTTAAAACAAGATATCTCGTTGAGTTAAATAGCATTATCAAGAGGGAAATATTTTACCTTCAAATGGTTTATTAAATTTTCTAAAAAAGAGAGCTATTCTTGAATTCTTGAAAAGTATAAGCTAGTCCCAGGGTCTGAACTTTTTTTAAATTTTGTAGGCCTGTGTTATCATTGTTTTTCCACCATAGTTTTCATGAAAATAAAATTGTGGAATATAATTGTTATAAGGCCATAAATAACAAAAAAATAAATTGAGAAAAATCCTGAAACTAAAGCCGACATTTTACTATATATAACCCATAGTTTCGTGAGTATATTGATTGCTTCGTTTGTTTTGAAATATTTTTATTTCAACCTGTTTCACGCCTTTTACTCAGATTTTTTAGAAAAACTTTAGGTACACATTTTATAGCACACTAAATTACGGGAGGATAAAGTGGTGGTTTCAAGTGGGTAAAAACGCTCTTGAATTTTTCTAACATTTTTGCGGGGGGTGTCACGCATTTCCTTCCATAAAAGTATGTTCGAAAATTCTTTTATGTGGAAGAAAATGCCCAGCATCGTAAAAAAAATCCAAAAAATCAACGGTACTTTGTAGCTTCTTGAAACGTGCACCTTATCCTGTTATAATTTAATAGGCTATAAAGCTGCATACCTTAAATTTTTCTAAAAACTCTGAATAAATATTTTGAAATTTTGGTAAATATTTTTTGAATTTTTATAATTTTTGAGCAAATTTTGATTCTATGTAAAATAAGGTAGACTTTTATAAAAAAATTGTAAATATTAAATAAAAAAAGTAATATAAACAAAACTGTTTGAAATAAGGCGTTTTTTTTCTGCCACTAGTATTATGAGCTTATTTCAACCACAAATACATTTGTTGACTTGAGTTTTTTTGCATCGAGCTTTATTCGACATATCTTCAGTTACTTTATCAGATACGTACAAGTTTAAGTATTATTAAATGCGTATAAATTTATTCACTGTATTTTGTTTTGTTAGTAATGAGAAATTTTCACTTTAAATAAGAAAGTAGGTTTCAAACCCATTTTTTTATTATAGCGCAGAAAATCTTCTCAAACAATATTGATGCAATTTTGTTGTGTTAAGTTTTTGAAAAATTATGAATATCTAAATCCCGCGACTAATCCCTGGATTGTATAAACGAGATCCCGAACATCCCGGCATCGAAAAAATCTAAAAAAACTAACATGCCTAATACATATACAATTGTAGCTATAAGCGGTATCATACGAACTAAAATTGTAAGAAAAACTTCATCACTCATAGCAACGAAGTCATTTTTTTTAAGTCCTAACATCAGTTTGTATTTTTACTTTCAGCAAATATCTAGTTTAACTGGAGACGACAAAACTTTGAGCGAACACTTAAAATTGCCAATTCAACGAATAAATGATTACCAGTTTTTATTAAAGGTAACGTTTTAAATGTGATATGAATGTTATTTTAATCATGCATTATCTAGAAATGTACATTAGAGTGTCCCATTAGAAGATAGGCTATTTGTAAAATTCGATAAATATGCCGTTATATATATATATATTTCTTTTAGCATAAATAACGTATGCACGTATGTGAATATATTGCATATAAAGTTTAATTGTTGTATTCTGACGATAACCCGCGCTGACTTGTATTTGAAGTTTAAGTGAAGACCTTGTACTAACAGCCTCATTTCCACACAAATGACAAAACTCATCGCATGACTATTGGAGTTGTCAGAATAAGTACATCTCCGTCCGTTCTGTGAATGGGTCCAACTGATAAAACACGCATAACGTCGAGCGATGTCACAATGATACCGTTGATGAAAACAACACCGCTCATTTTAATTGGCTGCAGACCAGGTGGTTATTGTTACTAATTGCATTGTGCTTGTGGTTTTCTCAAATTGAAAATTGGGAACTCGGTTTTTTCAAAGCCGGTTTTGCAAACATTTAATACCAGAGTTTCTGGCCGAAGCCCATTAATTAATAAGACCAAAATGATTCCTGTGATACATATGATTTTTTAACATCACTAGAAAAACAAAATTAATTTTTATTTATTGGCTAGAAGAAAACAAAATAATAAAAATCAAATAATTGTCTTAATGAATAAAAGCAAATGATGCTACATATATAAAAAGGGCAGAATTTGGGGGGTCCTTAAATTTTTCCTTAACTCTTTAACTAATTAATACAATTAAAATTAATAGTTAACGTATCATTCGAAATAATTTAATGAGCTTTCTGGGTTCGGATGTTAGAATTTCACAATATAATCGAGAAAAAAGATAAAGAATAGCGGTAGCTATTGCATACAGTTTGAGTATATAAAACCCGTATTTATTTATTGTGCAATTTTGCTGTTTTCGAAAATCAAGCAATTTCAAAGCTCGGCTAGTTTAACTTTATTTAACTTTCCGTATGAAATTTGTCCGTGATAACTCATCACCTCATCTTGAGCAAAGTGCGGAAAATACTTTTAGCTGTTTGACAGTTCGACGCCTATATTGCCACAAAAAAATCATACGTAAAAAAGTTTGCATACATTTATTTTTAGGGCCTACCAACACAGATCCTCACCGCTATCAATGTGTGTAAGGTCGTAACTTAGAAATATCTACATGTTCTTAAGTTTCTTACAATGAGTTTACTTTTGACTAACCGCCAGTTGGCCAAAATATTAAGTCTACACTAACTGAGCTTTTAGCAACAAGGTAATTACAAAATGGTACCGCTAGTTTGATGTTGCTATTTTTTGACAATTCTCAATTCCATGTTTACAACAGAAATATGTGCCCGTTCCATTAGTGATGGAAAATTGATTCCGATTCCATTCCGGAATCGAAGATCTTCTCGAAATAATCGATTTGAGAGAGTCGATTCAAAATTTTCGGGATCGATCGAGAATACATCATACATCTTTAAATGCACGTCAGTTGTTAGAATTGTGATATTTCTGGCATGATTAAGATAAATATTAAGTATGACTAGTTGGCGCATATTCATAGAGATGCTAGAAATAAATTTATGAAAAGGAAAATAGTATCGTGAATATGTTTCAATCACACATTTTATAGCAAACTATCTGTACCTTGCCACGCTTTGCTGTGGCATATTCCTGTTACATGAATGACAAATGATTAACGAAACAAAGCATACGTTTCATATAAGTTTGATTTTGCATTAACTACTTGCATATGGGCCATTCCATTGTGACCAGTGGGACATTTTACTCCAGAATGTACTCCATTCTGAATTTTAGCTACATATGTCGTCGGAACTTATACCACAGCGAAAGTTATTTTTTAGCATAGAACGATAACTAATGTATAAAATTGCTTTATCAAAAATATCAAACGATTTCTTAGTTTTATGTAACTATTATTTGAATGAATGTGACTAGTAGTACATTGAACAGAACTCTATTTTACCCTTGTGCACTCAAAGATGAATTTTAGTCAAAACACTTACTCCCTTATTCATAAAAAATTAAGTAGCTTTAAAAAAGGTTTACAAATTGGAAAATGTATGAAAGCGTCACTTTATAAAGCTCTTTAAACCTACTTTATTTTGTATGAATAAGGTCATTAATTTTTACGAACCATGTATTTGTGTTGTAAAATATGAATTATCCGTTTTCGTTTTCAATAAAAATGAAATTTACATAATCTTCATAGAAATATTAAAAAAGTTGTGGCTGGTGGAACATCTCCTTGTGATTGCTGTAAAGTAATTATGAATGAAATAAAAGTTTCCATACACAAAAATTACAACTTCTTTAGATTTGTTTTTTAATATTTTCCCACAGGTTAATGAAATTTAGTCATTTAAAAAGAGGTTACTACAGAACTAGAAATAATTAGGGCATATTTAAATTTACGTCGTTTTGCTCTTTTCGATGGAATGACCCAAATACACAATATTTTTCGTTTTTCCATTCTCTGCGTAGATATCAAGGCCATCTGGTTTGCCGACACCGGAGCACGCAACATACAGTTGTCCATGTGAGAAGCAATCCCCTTATAAATCTAAACCACATTTTCTAAAGATTGACTTTGAGTTTTATTGACTGTGATTGCGAACGCCAATTGAATTGGGAATTGCAATATTTTAAACTGAAATGGTGTATCGGTAGGAATCATGGGCATTCGAGGGATGCGGATGAAAGACCACGTTAAAATCTTTTCTTCCACTTTGTTCTTCATCAATCTCTTAACTGCAAGTCGCGTTCCGTTGCAGAGTTTTGGTTGATTAATATTCCGCACCATGATAATTGGCACTCCTATTTTCAATTTCCGCTGTGGTGTAGTTGTAAGCCGTGCGCGCTTCCACTCCGCAGCGTTTGGGTTCAAGCCCAAATAACACAAACGGCGATGAGGCAAATTAGTGTTATTTCCCAGNGCGCTTCCACTCCGCAGCGTTTGGGTTCAAGCCCAAATAACACAAACGGCAATGAGGAAAATTAGTGTTATTTCCCAGTTGAATGTGAAATAACACAAATTTGCTATATTACATTTCTCGTTGAGCAATAAGAGCAACTTTTAAAATTAAGAATTGAGTGAACAAGTTAAATGGACGGATTTGTAAGAATTAGTCCAATTTGCCGATCAGTTATTAAAGACGACGCTTTCCCTATATTTTGTTAGACTGTTTTTGTTATAAATAGTATTAATAAACAATGGGAAATAAGGCAAAATTTGTCAGATTTTGGTATTATTTCCCATTTAAAAGTGAAATAAAGCAAATTTTGCGTTATTGTCGTTTGTGTCATTTCCTACAGTCATCGTTCTTAAATTTCCTTAATTTGATACCCAAATTTTAATATTTCATTTAAGTTATCAATATAATTAAGTTTAAATTTTTTTTGTGATATAAATTTTCCTGGTATTATACTGAACAATACAAAAACAAATTATCGGTTCAGTCGTTCTCGAGTTTTGATGACTGTTACAAACGAACATAACATTTATATATATAGACATAGATGGTAAGTGCCACGGTCCCTTTTCCAAAACCGCCAATTTTGCTCTATGAGTATGATAGAGGTTCCACGCCCTTCTTTTCGAATTCGGGAAAAATCCACATAAACCATCGGCATGATAGCCCAAATATGCCGTATAAATTTGGTTGAATTCGGTGATGCCGTTTTAAAGTTATAAGCTAACACCAAAAATGTGTACTTATTTTTATATATCAGATATAGGTGCCACACCCCGTTTTCCAAATTTGGGCAAACCTCACACAAACAATCTGCATGATGGCTCGAATGTGCTGTATACATTTGGTTAAATTCGTTGAAGCCGTTCTCAAGTTATAAGCTAACACACTTATTTTTATATATAAGATTAGAGGTGCCACGTCCCCTTTTCCGAATTTGAGAAAACTTCACATAAACCATCTGCATCTGTAGCCCGAATACATTTTGTTGAATTCGGTGAAGCCGTTTAGCCGTCAAGTTAAGGTAACTCCAAAAACGTGCACTTATGTTTATATATAAAAAGATGAAGCAATTTTTCCACAAACTTATTGTTAAAACTCTTGTTACAATAATTTTAATTGATCCATCATAATAGCATTATTATCTATGATTAATGTCTGTATAATTGGTCCTTCTTATCGATTTTTCAAGTGAAAGAATGATTGAAATAAAGAATCGATTAGAATCGAAGAATTCGAATCTCGCCGTCGATTATACGATTCTAAGAATCGTAAGGATTAAATAAGATTTGAGAATCGATTATTTTTCAAAACTTTCCATCCCTACGTTTCATTATTTCGTGAAGAAAGGGTGAGACAGCAGGCTGTGAAATATCAGATGTCAAAATTCCTTGGACTCATAAACGAAATAACGGCATTTTTTTACCGATTTCTTAAGAGCTAGAAACTAATTGTGTGAATCCAAGGAATTTGGACATCTGATATTTCACAGTCTGCTGTCTCACTCTTCCTCACGAAATAATGGAACGGACATAAAAAAAAATAAAAACTTATATTGAAAATAAAAACATGGATTGCCTTGAGCTCATTTTTACAAAAAGCTGTAGAAACCCATAGTAGAAAGCGTAGGAAATTTCTTAAGAACTGCGTACCGCCCTAGGGAAATTTGACTCAAGAAAACTTCTTCGGTAATTCTTGAGCGTTTTTTATGGAGTTTTTCTTTTTTTGAGAGCTGGATATTAAGCCTAATAGTAAACAACGCCCAAGAAACTTTAAATTCACTAATACTTTCACAAAAATTACCGTTTTTATCATTTTCTGTTTTTAATTCTTTTTATAAATCATATATTTTTACCATTTAACACAATTAAACCACGTTTCCTATCAAAAAAATTAACTTTAAGAAAATTGATTGCTTAGACAGTTTCTCTAATCCTCCTATTCGGCTTTGTTTACTTTTACTTAAGAAATGACATCGCCGCCAGGACAGA